TGCTTGAAAGCCTGTTTCTTCCCCACAAGCTGCCTGGTGTTACACTTAAGACCCTACCAAATTCATGGTCCATTTTGATTGAGTTCATGGTCATAGTATTTTAAAAATAATAAATTTAGTGGCATCAGTTATTTAAATCTGAAATTTCAAAGTGTTGTAATTGTAGAGGTCCTTTCCCAGAAAGGAGTTAAGGGCGGCCATAAGGCTATGATACTGCTACCTTTGTGTGCTGCTGCTGGAGATGGCATCGCTTTCAGAGCTGGGCAGCTGGAGAGCAGCGGCTGCTGTCTGAGAGCCCAGCTCTGAAGGCAGAGCCATCACTACCAACAGTGCAGAAGAAAGGATGGTATGGTATGGTATTGCCACCCATATTACTCTGCTGCTGCCTGCAGAGCTGATCCCTTAGTCAGCAGCCGCTGCTCCAGCTGCCCAGCTCTGAAGGCAGCAGCACACAAGTAAGGGTGGCATGGTATGTTATTGCCACCATTACTTCTGTGCTGTTGCTGATGGGACACTGCCTTCAAAGCTGGGCACCCAACTAGCAGCTGACACTCTCCAGCTGCCCAAATCAGAAGACAGTGCAAAAGCAAGGATGGTGATACTGAAACTCTCTTAATCTAAACTTGTGTCGTCTCTCCCTCCCCCCCCAGCAATTCTCTTTTGGGTCAGGACCCTTATTTGAGATATATTGGTCGCCTCCATGAAATCTGTATAGTACAGGATAAAAAAGACCAGATTTCATAGTCTGTCATGTATTTCATGGTCATGAATTCGGTAGGGGTCCCAGTTATAGTGTACAGTGCATCTTAGGAACTAGCTACTGCACCCATACAAACCTCCGCAAACTACACTGAGGCTAAGAGGCCTTTTCAATCACTCTGACATCCAGGAAGCCAACAGTTTTGTTCATTTCCTATTATTTGCCCACTAAGCCTCTTCCATAGGTGAGGAGGTCAGCACAGAAGGACAATCTCCAAAGGAAAGTACAGCCAGAATGGGAACCATTTACCTCAAGGATCATCTAACCCCCCTTAATGCTTATGTCTGTGATTTAATTTCTTTTTCTTTGTTAGGCCTGTTATACAGAGTTCTCTCCATTCACACCCATTCAAAGAGGCTTAGAGGGGTCCCATGGGTGATGCAAAGTCCTGTAGCTCCTCAGATCTCCACCCTTCTTAAGATAATCTTCCAGGTACTAGCTGTGAGTCTGCCCCCCACTTCTTACCTGTATTTTGACCTATCACACAGGGACTCTAGGCACTGGTAGAACAGAGATGCCTCCACCCCGTCAAGCGGGCTGCACTCACTCGGAGCCTGACGAAAACGGTGCTGCCCAGAGGACGATGTTGGCACAATCACAGTGTTGGGATTCTTACCAGTCAACAGATCTTGATAAATGGCAGCAACACTTTCCAGGAACTCTGCAAAGCCGGAGGATGGCTTAGCACTTAGGGCTATGACAAGACTGACAATTAGAAAATTCACCTGGTCTACTAGGTTCTGGCCAGAGCTGGGACTAAACTGTCATCTGCAGTTCTATGTAAGACTGGTATGACCTGTATGCATGTATGGCACTGACACATCCTGCCTGTTCACATTTCATAGCATACTGGCCTGTATGCTGGACAGAAGCATCTTCCATATAAACTGCTAGCTTGAAGTGCTGCATGGGGAGGTGACCCATGTTACTGCAGGTGCCCATGCACTCTAATATGGGTCCTCTAAATACAATATGGAAGCTAGAAGAAAGGCCAGGATGGGCCAGAGCAAGAGCTGGCAGAAAGTGCTTTCCTCAGACTCCAAGTACTGTCCACTATTTACTGCAAGACTCTAATTTTAAACAAGTTTGTTTATAGATATGGTCAGCAGTTTACAAATCTAGATTCCACTTGGAGTACTTTGCATGTGTGTGGGTTGGTGGGAGAGTGTGTGAGAGTCTGCATGCATCTGTGAACGGAAATGGGGTGGTGTGTTTTGAGAGGGTGTATATGGAAGAGGGATGATGTATATAATGCATGTCTGGATGAGACTGAGAGCATGTGAGTGGGGTAACCTCTGAGGCTGTGTTGAGATTCTGTAGCTCACTCTGGAAATATCTGCTGAATCAATAAAAAATTTTCCAACCACATGCCATTCCTCAGACTTTTCCCATCCCTGCCTCAGGTCACTCGAAATCTGTTTCGATCCACCCCTCACAAAACTAGTACCCCAAGCTGTTTTACCTTGATGATATGATAGTGGATAATGCTGGGTTCTACAGGGGGGATTCAGAGCAGGGCAGACCAAATCAGTAAGTATGTAGAGAAGTCTTGAAAAAGGAGGAGTTTATGGAGGAGAATTGAAACTAATTGCATTACTGCAAATATAGGAATTGTCATACAGCATCGGACTAGCACAGTGGTCACCAACCAGTAGATTGGGATCTACTGGTAGATCTTGGAGCCTCTGACAGGTGATCCTAACTGGTTTGGCCAAGAGGCTATCAAGGGCCTGAACTTCAGCTGCCCCTCCCCACACTGCTGCTTATTTCCTGCCCTTTGCTTGGAGCTGTCCTCCCGCCTGGGGAGCCTCCTGCTTCGCTGCTTATTTCCTGCCCTTTGCTTGGAGCTGTCCTCCCCCCTGGGGAGCCTCCTGCTTCCTTGGCTTGGCAGGGCAGGGCAGGGGAGGGAGAGAAGGTGCTGATGTCAATGTGCCCCCTCCCACTGTATCATTTCTCCATAGAGCAGAGAGAGGGCACAACAGGACTTGGGATGGAGTTTGCTGGCTGCTTTAGGGAGTGTTCCAGGGCTGTGGAGGGGTGAGCCTGCCTTAGCCCCACTGCACCCCCAACCAGGAGCCACCAGCAGTGCCCAGCTGGAGCCCACATCCTAAACTCCTACCCCAGTCATGAATCCCCTCCTGCACCCCAAGCACTCCCAGACTCTGCACCTAGAACGCCCTCCTACATTCTAACTGCCTGCCCCAAGAGAAGCTTAGAGCCCCTCTCACACTCCAGATCCCTTAAACCAAGACCAGAGCCTACACCGCAACCCTCTGCCCCAGCCTGATGAGAGTGAGTGAGGATAGGCAAGAGAGGGAGGATGGAGTGAGCAGGGGAGGGGACTTAGAGAAGGGGTGGGAGGGAGGTGAAGCCAGGATATTTACAATTGAGGTAGATCTTGGACTGCACTTAACTTCAAAAAGTGATCTTATGCTTAAAAAGGTTAGAGACCCCTGGACTAGCAGGACATCTAGTTCAGTATCCTGTCTCCAGACAGGCCCAATACCAGCTACTTCAAAAAAGAAAGCCTGCAGTAGACAGCTATAGGAAAATCTGTTCCCTAAGCCTGAATAGTTAGGCATTGGCATATGGCCCAAGACTTGACAGTTGATATCCTTCATAAGGCTCTTTTAAATATAGAGCTGTTCATCATTATAACTCTCCATATTAATGTCTAATTGACTTTTTAATCCTGCCAAGCTCCTGACTTCCGTGACGTTCTGAGTCAATGCGTTCAACAGGCTGCCTGCGTGTTTTGTGTGAAAAGTAGTTCCCTTTATTAGTTTTGCAAGTGCACAAGAGAAAGTTGGGGGCTGAGAAGCTGCACCAGAAAGAGACTAGCTGGGGCTGATAGTGGAGGCACCAACCTCCGAGCAGATTGCACTCACCTGAGTAGTAAAATTGTATCTGGAAGGCAAAGAGGAAATCAGAAAAAGACATCAAGCAATCCATGGCATCATCCATGAGCACAATCCTGGGAGCAAGAGGAAGAGAGAGAGAGAACTCAGTAAACATAAGGAGACAGCAGTCTGCAACCAGATCCTTTTCCTTAAAGTAACAGAGGGCAAACCTTGAAAGAGAGTAGCCACGTAGTCACTCAAAGGGAGCTATGAACCCCCAAGTCCAGTGGGAAGACACCACTCAAGGGGGTTTGGAAACTCCCAAATCTGAGGGCATGACCCAGGGTGTCTGATGAGGAAAGTGGAGTAACTCAGGGGAAGGTCTATTACTGCTAGTAGCGTAACCTTAGTGATTGTGAACTGGGACTCTGTCTCACAAAGCAGAACAAATACGAAACTGCAATTGATTCAAATTGCATAACAGTATGATGGACATGATAGAATGCACATCAGCAACCTCACACGTTTATAAAAATTGCAGGCCTGGTTCTGATTTGAAGTAGGGGGTAAATCAGGATTAACTGAGCTAAGTACAATGAAGTTACACAGTGTAAAATTAGTGTAAGAGAAAGGAGAATCAGGCCCTGTTTGTGTAAATGATAGCTCCAAATTAGGTTATTTTCCATTTCATAGTGAAGATGATAACACTGAGAGACTCCCACTTCCAGATCAAGCAAATCCCATTTCAATAAAAAAGGAAATAACATGTTTACCTGGCACAAAGGAGCCCCTAACTGCACTGTGTCTGAAAACCTCCACCCTGCTCTCCCTCATCAAGTTTTTTTCCCTTCTGTATGTCATCATGACAGGTCTCTCGGAAACTGACCATCTCACTGAGCAGGGACAATGTTTTCATTCTTTCTGTAAAGCACCAGGCATAGCTATGGAGCTATATACACCCTATGTTGCACCGTACTTCATAAATGTAGATAACATCAACCAAGGCAACAGAGGCTGTTAGGATGGAGCAGAACTAGCAGCAAACTCAACTACTTCCAGGGATACCTCAGTTCTGAAGGAATTTCTGGAGTCAGATCCATGAAAGAATAAAGGCCAGCAGGGGCTTAGCAGTGAAACCCCAGGAACAATACTCTAAGCACTGCTGGTCTGGGAGGAGAAACAGGTCAGACTCTGAAGGGGGAAAGGTAGAGGCAGAGGTCTGATGAAGGGAGAGGAAGCCAGCTAAGGAAGAGGAGAGAAACCTAGGCACCAAAACCTAAGGCCTGGGAGCTCTCAGAGTGTGCTAAGGGGCTCTGGGTTAATTCTCTATTTCATGGAAGAGGCTCTAGGAAGCTGTGTGGGAGGCTGAGTAAAAAGAACTGTGGGTTCCATCTGTGCAAGATGCTTCCTTTTCTGCCACTCAGACCAGCCCAATTCACTGTGGAATAACAAGCATGCAAAGCAGCTTGAATTAATTACCTCAAAGAAGAAACATTGGGGCTAAGAGGATCCCCAGGAGAAAATCCACTGTTAAAATAAAACCCTTTGAAGATGTCAAAGTGCTTCTGATTTATTTATTATGTCCCAGAAACCTCCTCCTGTCTAGTGCAGTAGCAGCTACAGTTCTTAACTCTCACTAAACAGCATGTTCCCAAAACTGTCAGAGGCCACATCAAGATGACTTTGAAGCTGGTAAGCAGAGCATCTTCATCTCCTAGGCAATGCTGATCAGTCACTGGCATTTCAAACCACTCTCTGAGCACTAGAAATGCTACATGACTCATCACTGAGAAGTGGGATGCCCTCCCTTCACATGTTTGTCTTCTTTGACAGACACCCTCAATACCCTGACATTATCCAGACCCACCAGTAGGGTGGGAAGAGAAAGGGAGCAATTGCACATGTCCCAGCAATTGAAAAGGGGCCAGAAGCCCAGGCCCTTTAAATTGCAGCTGGAGCTCCAGGTGGCACCTTTCAGGCAGTGCTAATGAGCTATTGGGGGTGATGGCGTGGTCTGCTTGGTGTTGAGGGTTGGCTGCCCCACCCCTTCCATTGGCCTCCCTGAAATTATTGCTTTTGCCTGGGGAAGGACAAAGCAGGCAGTGGTAGGCGTATGCTATGGACATTTTCTGTGGAGAGGAGATACATCACTTCTATGACATCTAACTCATTTCACCTGTGAAATCTAAAACTGCAGTGTCAGTGCTTGAGTCTGTGCAGCAACAAGACCCTCTCTTCCACTTACAGAAGAGCAGCGGGGAGTTGGTATTAGTTTGGGAATTTGCTGATATGTCTGTAGATGTTAAATAAGGATATGAAACCAGGATATACAATTCTGCTGCCTGAATCTGAAGAGGGAAGTGTCTGACTGGAAGCAGGTGCACTTTGGTGCTGGGTTACTGACTCCAGTTGTCCATGGTGTCTGCACTCCAGAGAGACTGAGAAATGTGTAAATCCAACACAATCACTTTGCTGGCCTGCAGCTCTGCTATTTCTTCAAACCACCAGCTGACTGCCCAGCAGGGAAGCTAGAAAAGCACCATAAGCCACATATCTGCACATCTCTCCTAACATGCTTGATGAGAGGAGAATCCCAGCCACAATGAGTCTACAACCCAGGCATCATGCCCTGAATTTAGGGACAAGCCTGACCCTCTGAGAAAGAGACTCGAGTTGGGAGTTATTTTGAGGGGTTCTTCATTATCTCTTTCCTGTTGTCTGAACTAGACTGTAACCTCTTCAGGGCTTTTTACATGTGTGGGTGGCTACTTTGCACACTTTAGGGCACTCAGGTTCAGATCCTCAGATTTTAAGTGCCTAATTCCCATGGAAGTTAAGACCCTAGTTTTGTGAATCTGGCCTTCAGTGAATAACCACCATAATAATAAAGTTCAAGGGAACAAACCCTTTGGCAGAGTGAAGAAAAGTGCCTCCAGCTGAGGGACCCTCTGATAGATGTACCAGGCTGTCAAGGTTCAGATGGATTTGTTAGGTGGGAGGGCCTTGTTACTCTGCCCATGAAGGAACTCTCTGACCTGCTGACTATAGGAAGAATCTCAGAAGAGGACCCAGGAAGTGTTCTAGCCCAGACTGTCAGAAAGGGTAGTTTTGACTGTTCACTTATCTTTGCTGCTATTAAAGACTAGCAGGCATAGTGGTTGGTCTACACTGTAGTGTAAACTCAGGGTTCAAATTCAGGATCAACCCTAATACCCCTTCTATTTACACAAAACTGTGCTAACCCAGGGCTTGGACCCAGGATTCCAGGTACCCCTTGGGGTAGGCGGTCTGAGCCTGAGTCAATCTGGGACACACTGTTCAAGCCCTATTGCTTTGCAGTGTAAATGTAGCCCCACTGAACTCATGCGCTGGGAGTCCACCTAAAGTATACCATAATCCCACAGTCAACTTTCTTTGTTCCCTTTGTGTTCAGAGTCAAGTTTTCCCACACTGCAGCATAAACAAAGAGCCAGAGCAGTCATATTTTGGAAGGGATATATGGAGTCTAAGATATAGGGTATGTCTACACTACAGCGTTATTTTGAAATATCTTATTTTGAAATAGTTAATTCAAAATAAGATATTTCGAAATAATGCGTCTACACACAAAATGCATTTCGAAATAGCATTTTGCTATTTCGAAATAGTGCGTCCACACTGATTGGACGCTGAATCACATTTAAGGCCAGCTGAAACCAGTTCCAGCAGGGCATCAGGTCAGTAGTTACTTTGTGTGGCTGCTGCCTGAGGCTATCTGAGGCTTGTGCTTAAAGGGACCCCCTCCGGATAGCCGGTTCTCAGCTTTCCCTTTATCTCTGCCTGCTTTGGTTGCCCTGACTTGGGACACCACAGTACTTGGGACCATGGAGCCAGAGCTGCCCCATGGCACTCTGGAGCTCATTTTGGATGTCTTACTGCAAGCCTGGCAGCAATTGCTGGAGCCTGCCTCGCAGCATCTGCTGCAGCCCAACCCCCAGGCCCTCTTCTAGACCCTCCTGGGGGATGAGGAGGAGGAGGAGGAGGAGGAGCAGCAGCAGCAGCACCTGGACATCAGCGTGCTCTGTCGCATCTGGAATCTAGACACCAACAGTGCCTGGTGGGACCACATCGTCCTGGAGTGCTGGGGAGACCAACAATGGACCCAGAACTTCAAGATGAAGGACACCTTCTGTGAGCTCTGTGAGTGGCTCGCCCCTGCTCTGCATCGATGGGACATGCACATGAGGCCCACCATTCCCCTCCAGAAAGCATGTGGACATTGCCCTCTGGAAGCTCTCCACGCTGGATAGCTACCAATCCATGGGGAACCAATTCGGCGTGGGGAGATTCACTGTTGGAGCAGTGCTCATGCAGGTATGGCAGTCTCCACTGTGCTTGGGGGTAGGGGCAGGGAGGGGATGGGCTGCCCCAGGGAAAAGGGGGGGAGGTGGTGCAAGTCCCCTCCCCAAGAGGGTTTCTTCTATCTCAGCCACACTATGGACTGCCTGTGGTGGTCAGGATTGCAGGGGGGGGTTGCTCCTGAGGAGTGGGGGTGCAGGGTAGTGGCGGGGAAGGAGCACTCTTGGCCACCCTGGCACCCCAGTGAGACTCAGTTTTGTGTATCCCACTGCAGGTACCATCAATAGAGTGCTGCTCCGCAGAGTCATCTGCCTCACTGATGTGGACGCGGTCATCGAGGGCTTTGGTGTCCTGGGCTTCCCCAACTGCAGGGGGCAATCGACGGGATGCACATCCCAATCCGTGCCCCAGACCACCAGGCCTCCCTGTACATAAACCAGAAAGGATACTTCTCGGTCAGACTGCAGGCTGTGTCTGACCACCGGGGCCGCTTCCTGGACATTAATGTGGGCTGGTCTGGCAAAGCACACAACACTCGGGTGTACCGCAACTCCTCCATGTGCCAGAGGCTGCACGCTGGGACTTTTCCACCACACCATGTGTGTTGCCAAAAACAAATTCTGTTTATTGAACATAATTGGGTTGGGAGGGGAAATGAGGGCAGGAGAGGGGAGGTGAGAGAGGTAAAGCTGGGAGGAGGGAGCTGGAAGGGGGAGGCAAGGGGAGGAAGAGGGAGGAGAAGTTCAAGGTTGGGGGTCTTGCTGGTCCACCTGTCTCCCAGCACTGCGGATGTGGG